CACCCGCGCCGCCGCCGACGCCATCAAGTTCACTGTTGACCAGCAGTCCCTCAACAAGAACAAGGCCAAGGCCGCAGCCCTCGCCGCCGCGCCCTCCGCCGCCGCCTCCCCGGCCAAGGCCGCGGTGGTGGCGCCCAAGGCGGCGTCGTCGGCGTCGTCGTCGGCGGGGGAGGATGACGACATGATGCGGCGCGAGGCGCAGCTGGCGGCCATGGTGTGCTCGCTCGAGAACAAGGACGTGAGTGATCTGGTTCGGCGTGATGTGGTGATCTTGCTTGAGGGGTGCCACAGTAAGACTTGAGGTGCACAGGAGGGGCGAGTGCACTGATGCGGCCGCTTGGCTTGTGGTTGCCTGGGGCAAGCTGGGTTGAGCGCCGCTATTGGAGGGCGCGAGGTTGCCGCAGCAAGGTTTGTGGGCGATGCCTGCAGATGGCGCCTCACCGTATGTCGCGCCCCCCCCCCCCCTCTTCCCACCCCAGGCGTGCCTGATGTGCGGCAGCTAGGCGGGCCGACCCCGAAGGGGCAGCGCCCCCCGCCCACTGAGGCGGTTGCAGCGCCCCGGCACCACGAGCGGCCGGCTGCTGGGCAGCGCCGCCTTTGTGCCCTGTGTTCCGGCCCGTGCGGCGGTACGGCCGCGTCGGGCCCTGCATTCGGTCCGCCCGCCGCGCCCCGCCGCCGCCGCGCGCCCGAGCGGCCGCGCGTGTGTTTTGGTGTTTTGTTGGGGGGGTGCCCTGCCGCGAGCCGCGGCCGTGCGCCCTGCTTTTGTGCATGCGCCGCTCGTCGCTACGGCCGCCCCGTTGCGCCCCCTTTGTCACCGCATGCCCCGTGACCCTGTGCTTCTAGTGCTGAAACGCACACACCCCCGCCTGACCCCCCATTGACACCGATTATTGTACGTGCCTTTTTTCTCGCTGTGATTCCGCCGAAATTCCCAATGCTCGACCGACCCCCCGGGGCCAACGCCCCGTCGCCATGGCGCGTGCGCGCCTGCCCGCCCCGCGGGCCCCAAGAGAGTAATCCAGAGAGCCACCGACCGATGCCTGGTCAGCAGCAGCGCGAGCCGACCCGTCGCGGCGTTGCGTGACCGATCGCCAGAGAGAAGATTTTACAGGACATGAGCGCAGCCGCCCGCCCCACAGCCGCACTCGCCACGCAAACACAAGTCGGGCTTGTGGCAAGGCAGCCGCTTTGCCACAGTGCTTGCCTTTGGCGGCTCCGTCCGGCTTCGCAATCTGCGCTTGGGCTTGCAGGGCGCCGGCTCGCCAGCGCAGAAGCTGCTCATTGGCTCTTGGCAAGCCGCCCCGCGAGGCCAATAGTGGTGTCCCAGATCTCGTAGTCGCCTGCCAGGGGTGGGCCGGTATAGGGCCGGCGCGGCGGTGGTGGTTCGACTTTAGTTTGCGCAACGCGGGGCCGCCTTCTAGATAAGCAGCGCCGCGGCCTGCTGCCCCTGTGTCGCGCGCCTTCACGAGCGTCGCCAGGAGCAGCAGCCTGAGACCTGTGGGTCCTTTGCACACCCCTACCCCACCCAAGCGCCCCTGAGCCCCGCCGCGCACCAGGCCCCGGCGCGCCGTCTGCGCCACGCGCGCCGCCGCCGCTGCCCCCGCCGCCCTGCCGCCGCAGCCGCCGCCCCATGCTGTAGGCCGGCCCCCCCAGGCTGCAGCGGAGGGGGTACTGCCCGGGGCCCGGCACCGCGTGGCCGCTCTCGGGGCGCTGGCTGGCGGGCGGGGGGCGGCGGAACTTGAGGGTCACTAGCAGTGGGCTCTTTGAGCGGTACCCCGGCGCGCCGCTGTACTCCCCTGGTCGGCAAGGGGTTGAGTGAGGGGTTGAGTGGGGGGCATGTGGGTGTGGCCAAGGGGGCGTTGCTTTGGTTGCGCAAGTACAGTATGCCTCAGGTCTGGGCGCAGCACTGCAGCCAGTCGCCCCTAATGCCTGCTGCACGCCTTGGCAACCCCCCTCCTTTAAGCCTGCAAACACCCCGAAGCAGACAACGCGTGCACACGCACATGGCCGCATGTATTTACAGTACATGCACAACCCTGCGCCCCGCACCAGGCGCTGGCCTCTTCTCGTAGCTCTCTGGCGGCGGGTGCTTGTGCGTGATTGCTACTGCCGGCGCTGCGGGGTGCTGCAGCTTGTCGCTGCGCTCGGGGGTGTAGTGGCCTACAGAGGGGTAGTGCGCTCGCGAGTCCTGGGGGCGGGGGTTGTAGGGCAACGTTGTGTGTACTGTATGTGTAAGTGCATGTACAAAAAGAGAGAGCGTACACACA